CCATGGTAATGTGAAATGTTTCCCATGGTAATGTGAAATGTTTCCCATGTTTATGTGAAATGCTTGCCCTGGTAATGTGAAATGTTTCCCATGGTTATGTGAAATGTTTCCCGTGGTAATGTGAAATGTTTCCTGTGGTAATGTGAAATGTTTGCCGGATCCTCAATGGTCGAACATTGTACTAATGCTGTAATCCTCTTGCCTGTTCTATTGTCCAACTTTCCCTCTCTTCAGATAGAGAAACTGGAGGACGGCCAGCCCGGGAAGTACAAGGTGTACGGAAAATACAGTGACGGGACTGAGTATAGCGACACTTTCAACACTGTAGGTGGAGGATAGCTGCATTTCTCTTCAACAAATAATGTGAACAAAATGATATTATGTATTAAATGATATAAAAAAGCTACCATCACTTTCGATGATCGTGTTCCAAATGGTTTGACTATTTGGACTGCAGTTCATTTATAATATAGGGATGAACCTAGTGGTTTAATTTTTAGGAGAGTCTCCGATAACACTGTTTCGTCTTCTTGCATTAATTTTCATAGATTCTCCAGGCTTTATCCAATAAAATTTTGTATTTAAAATAAATGAACAGTCTTAATAAATGCCACATTAAAAATGGTTCTCGTTCTATATTACCTGAATGTCAAATGAAATGACAAAGATAAATGACAACTTTTCTTGAATGTTGCTAGTGATTTATCTTTTAAATGTTTACTTACAAGGATGCTGGTACCTATTTCAATTTCTGATTAAACTAGAGCAAAATTAATCTGGTAAAGTGACTTGAGGTAAACAACTCGTGGTACCCTTGTCTGTAATTGTGTAAACTTACAAGCAGGAAAAATTCATTCAATTGTTTTATTTTTTTGTCCCTTCTACATCGTTATTCTTGTTTTGTAGGTGATATTTGCCATTGGCAGAGATCCTGTCACAAAAACTATAGGACTGGACAAAGTGGGTGTCAAGCTCAACAAGTGAGTACTTGCTTGAAAAAATGTATTTAAAGAACAAGATTAATCATTTAAATTTTACTATTCAAAATTATAGCAAATTTTCAGTAAGATAATTTGATCGGTGGCATTGATCAGTATATTTCAAATTACACATTACCTGTCTTGTTCATATCAAAAGTTATAGAGTTATTGATGAAGAGGTTGGTAAGGCCTTATAGAGGTACTACTATATAATTTGTGGACAGAAAATTTCAAAATTATAGTTTATCACAAATGCATTGTATATCATGTGATGTTTTATTTGTTGACAGAAACAGTGAAGTTATTGCACACAAAAGAATGTTGTTTTGTCTTGATAATGTTATTTTTGTTAACAGAAGCGGTAAAGTTATTGTAGACAGGACTGTTGTCTGGTCTTGATAATGTTATTTTTGTTAACAGAAGCGGTAAAGTTGTTGCCAACGAAAGTGAGGCCACCAACGTGTCCAACATCTATGCAATCGGTGACATACTCGAGGGCAAGCTGGAGCTCACACCAGTAGCCATACAGGCAGGCAAGCTGCTCGCCCGCCGACTTTATGACAATAGCAAAGTGCTGGTATGTACTCAATAACTTATTCTTACTGCACTTAAACATGTGTTCAGAGGCTATGCTATCAGCAAATCAGTGATCCAGGGGGTTCCCATTTGGGAATGTAAAGTTTTCTTCTTTTTAAAGAAAATGTTTGGGATGGGGAATGAGACGAGTTGCGTCCTTTTGAATCTGCCACTTGTGACTACAAATGAGAATAATTGTGCTTACTCATTTCCGATTGTCTTGTGGTCACTACCAGAAAATATTTTATGAATTTATATTGTTATATATTTCCTCGTCACACACACACATCATTAGAATCACGCTGGTGAAGTGTTTAATGTTTTCTACCTACAGACGGACTATGTCAACGTAGCTACAACAGTCTTCACACCTCTAGAGTATGGCGCCATTGGATACTCAGAAGAGGCTGCAATAGAGAAGTTTGGCGAAGATAACGTAGAGGTAAGATCATTGAATTAGCCTCATGTGGTCATTATTTAATCCAAAAGGAAACTTCTTTCTATCAGATGCAAACAGCAAATTGATGTGCTATTGAAAGTTTACATGGGGCCTGTTC